TATTATTTTTAACCGACTTCAAAAAAGGAGGAGGTTATCAATTCGTCGCGATATTTTTTTTTTTTATGTATGTTCAGCGATAATTCTTTAACACGGTGTCCGATTTCAATAATTCTTTTTTTGTTCGAAAGGGGCTACTTCAGGGGTGGTCCCATATACATTTGGTCAAAATTTAAAAATTGGGTCCATGAGAAAATCCTCAAACTCTTCATTTTTTATGTATGTTTAGCGATAATGCTTTACTACCTTGTCCGATTTATATGATTCTTTTTTTGTTAGAAAGGGGGTACCTTAAATTTGGTTAAGATGTTGTGATGGCATCTGCACGTTTTTGAAGTCGGTTTTTTTAAATTTTTAATTTACACTTGTTAAAATTTTAAATAAGTGACAATTCTGTCAAACTAATTGTCAGTATATTTTTTAGTTATTGAGATTAAACACATTAAAATGGGTTATTCTTGTGTAGAATCGATTTCTGTTTTTATTTCGTCTATAATTATAAATAATTTGTTAATTTAAATAACACAGTGTCTAGGTACACGCACTTGTACGCAATTCAAAAAGTTATATACACGCGAAACGTTTGGACAGAGTAGGTGAGCTGTGTCCATGCCGGTCGGCGTAGCCAGTATGGATTGAAATTTTTTGGTGGCGGCGAAGCCGCCACCCTACGAGAATTCGTTGTTTATTTTTTTGTTGTCACGGTATTATTATTATTTGTTCATGTATGTGAAATGTGCTTCTAAGGTTTATAAAATACTACTGCTAGCTGCTAGTCACGGCGTAAATGAAAACAAACAACACGCATTCACACAAACACCTCTCACCACAGCAATATGACGTTTCGCGTGTATATAATTTTTTGATTTGTGTACACTTTAGCGTGTACCTAGCAACAGCGTTTAAATAAAACTATATGAAGTCAATTTAATTACGAGTAATAAAGCAACAAAAATAAAAGAATAGGTGGTCCTGTGGTCGGCGTTCTTGCCTTCTACACGGAAGACTCGAGTTCGATTCTCGGATGGGGAAAAATTAAATGAACTTTTTTTTTCGTTTATTTTATTTTAAAAATTATTAAAAATCATAAATTATTTTAAAATTAGTTATTTTGTCTTAATAACCTAAAATATTTTTAATCTATTACATAGCTTTTATCGCGGGCTTTGAGCGCGGCGACCGAATCAAGAAATTCCGTAACGAAAATAAACCTAACACCCCCCCACTCCGACCGGCACAGCGTGCGACTAAACGTATGCGTGTAGACTAGCTGCTAACTGCTCATAACTGATTATATCTCTTTTAGACACAATGCTAGGTGAGACAGCGTGCTTTTTGGCCGCGTCCACGAGTGAGTTCGAGCCCACTAGAGTTGTACAGTATATTTTTTCTACGACTCACTAACAAAAATCGAAAAATCAAATAATCGAAAAATAAAAAAAATCGAAAAATTGATGAAACGAAAAAGGCAATGAACAGCGTGCTTTTTGGCCGTGTCCACGAGTGAATTCGAGCCCGCGACTAGTTGAACCTTAACTTGTATGTATACGGTACGACTGTATGAAGCTCGCACGGATCGAGACGAGCTGCTCCGAAATCGGACGAATACGTAAGCAGCTGTTTGTGAGAAAGTATATATAAAAAATGCTATGCAATAGCTTTACCGCGGCAGTCCCCGAGTGCCACACGTATTTTTTTTTAATTTGTAGATTTTGGTTAGTGGGTTGTAGAAAAAATATACTGTACAACTCGAATGGATTGCCCACATCGCATTTAGACGATTGAGCACTTCGCCTACGGCGTCGTGCTCAAATTTCGTCTTCGTACGATTTGGCCATCATATCCACTCGAGTTGAATAGTATATTTTTTCTACGACCCACTCTTTCTTTACAGCAAAAATTACACTTCCTTTAATTTTATCACTTACTGCGAAAGTATACATCATACATGTAGTTTGTTCTTTATCATTTGATTTATTTTTTATTTTCTGCATTTCCATCTATACAGTTGTTATCAGCCAAAATTAAATTGTTCATGTCGAAAATCGGCAGTTTTACAAAACGACTGAAACTCGCCGGAATGTCAACCAGAGGATAATCTTAAATATTTGACAATCTGGTCGTGTGTTGATCGTCTTTTTATAAAACGCTAAGGCATTTTATAATCCGGCTAGCCAGATAGTAAAATAATGAAAGGTAAACGGAAATTTGACAATTTGGCCGCTATTTATAAAACGACGGGCTTTGTAATCTGGCTACGACATATATATTTACATATATACCAAAAAATACCTCCATATTAAACTACCTCAATGTTTTTTTTTTTCGACTACATTTGTTGACAAAAAGAGTTTTGGAAGTGCATTTTTTTATGGTAACTTTTTTAATGCCGTCCAATTATTTTAGAGCAAATTCTATTTGTAGCTCTAATATTTTCGCTGGTACTTCTTCCAATAGCCCTTAACCAGGCAGAATACTGTTTCTTTCCAAGACTAGAAAATGCAAGGTAAATTATAAATATACAAATATGACAATAAGCAATCATTGGCAGAATGCAAATCAAACATAAATTATTGAAAATATTACAATAGATTAATACAGAGAAGTAAATTGGGGCATCGTAAATCCAAATAATAGGACATGTGACATGAGTACGACTCTGCTAAAGTCAATAAATTTACCTGTGAAAATGTAATTCCTGCACGTTATCTCTTCTATCACAATTCAAGACTAAACACGTTTTAGTCATATTAAAATGATAAAAATAATACTAAAAAATCTGATGTGTCCAACACATGACTTTCCTATCTAGTTTTTGTTTTGTCATTATCTTTTTATTATAGGCTTTTTCCGGTTGTTTTGTACAACCTATTGCAGCATCTCTATAAATGTTTAGAGGATAAACTAAATATATACATTGTCCACATATTCATGGAAAACGAAAATACTGAAAAATTTAAATTTCCTACAATTTTTTCATTACGGTCCATTTTAGAAAAATCATGTATAAACAAAAATTATAGAGATCGATATCGCAAACAACTTTTATTTCAAAAACTTTCATAAAAATCAGAATTTTGCACATTTTGTCAAATTTCTCGAATACGGACCATTTCAGGAAATTTTTATATAAAACCAAAATTATAGATAATATTAGAAGTAACTTTTATTTGAACAATTTTTTTCTCCAAACATTAATAACAGATATATTTCATAAAATATAAAAGTGGCCTCCTATAAAGTACCCCCCCAGATGTTCCGACTATGTCCAAAATCTAATCATTTCACGTCAGGCCGAAATAAAACTTACGTTTCAAATTTAATGTTTTTTTCTTTATCCGTTTTTGAGTTTTCTTCAAAATTCGAAATTTACACATTTTCTCAAATATCTCGAATACGGTCCATTTTAGAGAAATTATGTATAAAATAAAAATTAAAGAGAATTATATGACAAACAACTTTTATTTGAACAATTTTTATAAAAAAATATTTTTTTTTACATTTTGTCAAATTTCTCGAATACGGACCATTTTAGGAAAATTTTGTATAGAACAAAAATTATAGATAATTATATAAGAAGTAACTTTTATTTAAAGAATTTTCTTCTCCAAACGTAAATAACAGATATATTCCATAAAATATAAAAATGATCACCTATAAAGTACCCCCCCAGATGTTCCGACTCTGCCCAAAATCTAATCAGCTCATTGGACGCTGGAATAAAGCTTAAGTTTAAAATTTGGTGTTTTTCTGTGTATCGGTTCATGAGTTATGCGTTATACAGACACACACACACACACACACACACACACACAGACACACACACACACACACACACACAGACATCATCGCGAAAATAGTCAAAACGGATTCAGGGGACCTCAAAACGTAAAAATCCGTCGAAAACTCGAGGTCGAAAAAAATCATGATTCCTATACTTTCCTTATATCTGTATACAGATAGGAAAGTAAAAACACTCAGTAATACAATTTGTTAATAAAAACTAACAAATAAACCAGAAAAACCATAAATAATCATGACATCAAACGCAACTGACACATGAAATTAAATATATTTTGGTGTGCAAAATTCCTCAATCCCAATTTTACCAAAATGGCGGGGCCCTATAATAAATATATTTTAAATATAATGGAGATGATCATCGCACTGTGGGGCTAGCCCGTTATGACTCCATTAAAAACCATAATCAGAGGTTGGTTACCACGGTATAACATTGCAGTATATCATAAAATAATATAATGGATGTCCAAATGAGAAAGGATACCGGCCTATATTTCAATAATGTCATCAAGAAAAATCACTGGAATTTTCCAATTTATAACTTCGCCACTAGATTTAGTTAAATGTCGCACCTATTACAATTTTCATCATAACTTGATTTGGCAATAAAAAAAACGAGTTTTTTCATTGACCCCTAGCGGCGAATCTAGAAATTTCAAAACAATTTTAAGAGATTTCTAGGGACTACTTTTGTTAAAAAAAATGTCAGATCTGTATGATAAACGGTTCTTTCGATATGGCCGACCTCCTTCCTTATTTGGACACCCAGTACAAAGCTTTTACGTATATCAACTTAACCTTGCTTTGCGACCCACCATAGCTAATGCCTAATTATTGTGTACTTTGATGAATTCCTATATTCTGAAACGAATTTTTCAGTTAAGCGAAGGCCTATTGGTAAAACATCAAGCTAGAATATTTTTATCTTCAACTAAAATTTCCTAATCTTTGCGGAAGTGAAAATAAAATTAAATGTTTTCAGTCATTTTTTCCATGGCTTATGGCTCTTAGTCATATTTTTTCATTTAATTGCTTGGTTTTTCTTTGTTCCTATTTCTTATAATTACTTGAGCCATGTAATTGGGCTTAGTTTTCTCCTCTTACCTGTCTTCTTTACTTCCAATGTTCTTACCAATCGTGTTTTGTCACCATTAACCATGATTCACTACCATATATTTATTTTTATTTCCTATATCAAGGTGGAGAACAAAACTTCAAGAATATGAAAATGTTTACCGAGATGCCATACCAGTATCAACTGAGAAAAACTCAACTGCTCTTGACTACATGCCTGTTTTACGTGATATTACTAGGGCAGAGTGCGCGCGAGCGGCAAATAATACCAAGCGTGGAAATCGTTTTAGGAACTATTTAAGAGAGTTGGGTATACATTGCAATGAAATTACCAATACAGTGGCTTGTAACGTTTTAAGTAAATTTATTTAAGTGTAATAGAAGTTATGTTTATTTTATAACTAAGAAAAGATTATTAGATAATTTTTCAAGTTAAAAAATCTTGTACTATTGACCATTTGCATTGCTAGTCGTTAAAAAATAAGCGAAGCTGAAAATTATGTTTTTAATGTGAAAATGTCATTTTAAACTTATTGGCTTATTTTTTAACGACTAGCGTTGCAAATGAACCTGTATAATTTTTCAAACCATTATCTTTAGATTATAATTTTGAAAGTAACAATTTTAGACTAGTGGTGTTCTACTTATTGTGTAGTTTAAGAAATGAAAATATCTTTAGTTTTTATATTGAAATAACATTATACAGGTTGTTAAAATATACGTAGATATTAAAGCAGATTATTATTTAGACGACTTTCCTAGCATATGCAAAAATATAATTTTGAAAAAATACCAATAACTCTAGTTGGAAACGTAAGCATTCTCTAAATGCCTATAATTCTGTGGTTTTTCAGTGGCAAATTTATATTAATTGGGAATTTTAAAGCTATTTTAATCCGATTTCAACTAAATTATTATTGAACTTAAATAATTCCAAACTCAAATGTGACCAAGTTGCAAAATACAATCAAAATAATCTCAAAGCCATGCGTCACAATAATATGGGCCATCGTTTCTCTTTTGGCAACAACTTACTATTTTGGCTAATACCACACAGGTATTGAATTACGCCAAAAGAAAAAAGCAGAGAAAATTAAAGTCATTCTTGGACCGGTTTCGTCCTTATTAGGACTCTTCAGCAAGAAATAGTAAATCTCGACTCCAGTCTCTAATGGAGTCTGATGGCAATACGAAATACACTTGACCACATTAACAACAGGTTGAGCAAGTGTAGATATTCAACGAGCGAAAATGGTATCGCCACCTGTACTTAGTAAGCAAAATTAAAGGTCGCTGAAGAGTCCTAATAAGGACGAAACCGGTCCTAGAATGATTTTCTCCTTAGGAAGCAAAATTAAAGGGAGAGTGTTGAAAATATTGTTACGCATCACCCTGCAGCATAAGTAAAGGTACGAGTAAGATAGAGAATAGTCCAGAAATGTCTCGAAATGTCATTCGTTGTCAAAGAAAAATCCGGATTATTCGAGAAGGTTCTAGAAGGTTGAGGCAAGCTATATAAGTCGATGACCTGACGTCAGAGTTTTAGTTTTATGATAGACATTATACGTTAATGTTATCAGCTGGGTAGCTATTGTAAAAGTTGAATTGAGTTATTGTAAAAGTTGAATTGAAATACATTAAGATACCAAAAACCTGCGCAACATTGGTGACAGCGGTGGGATACAAAGTAAAAGTTCGTGGTAAATAATAGATCCACTGAATACGAAGCAAACATGGATACTTTAGGCCCACCAGCATGGTTTTTGAAGATGGAAGAGGAAAAGGAAAGGCGTAGGAAGGAAGAAGAAGAGGAAAGAAAAGGCGATAAGATGAGAAGGAAAGACGCAGGAAGGAAGAAGCGAAGGAGAAGGAAAGACGCAGGATGGACGAAGAAAAAGAGAAGGATGCGAGGCGTAGAAAAGCTGAGGTAGAAATTATGAATGGTTTGCTGCACATTCAAGAAAACCTTAAGCAAGAGGTAGGTCAGCTAACCAGCAAGATAATTTAAAAGCTAATTTAGAAGAACAAGAACAGGCTAGAGTGGAGTTAGAAAAGCAAATTAGAGCTGAAATGGCTGAGTTAGAAAAACGAATTCGCAGCCAAGCTTCGATAAACAGCATTGAAGCTGAAAACACTATCTCGTCCTCATAAACGCCCCAAGCCATATTCGAACCCCAGTATCACAAAACCCTAGTAGCAAGACCCTGAAGCCACCAACGTTTGACGGTCAGACAACATGGGAAACATATCGACTCCAATTTGAAGCTGCAGCTAGAGCCAATGGTTGAGCCGAGAAAGAGATATTGGCTTTATTGATAGTGTCACTGCGAGGTCAGGCAGCAACCGTTTTACAGCTACTTCTGCAAGAAGAACCTAGTTAATCATCTCTCGTCCAAGCCTTGGAGACAAGATATGACCAGCAGCATTTAAAACAAGTATTCCAAAGTCAGCTAAAAGTTTGTAGTCAGAAACACAATAAGAGTCTACAAGAATTTGAAGCCGATATTAAAAGATTGCTGCATCTGGCCTATCCACAGGCACCTAAAGATTTCTTAGAACAAACACAAGCATTCATTGATGGACTACAGGACGTGGAATTGCAGCAGGCTCTTCGGCTACAACATCACAACACGTTGAGTGAGGCACTTATTGCAGCTCAGGAATACGAAGCAGCAGAAAGTATATCTAAATCTTCTCGCGCAAAATTGGGAGAAATTCGATTTCAAGAAAGTGAAAAGGCCACTACTAATACTATCCCTCAACCTACCATCTCACAAATCTTAGATATTCTGCAAAGTATACAACGGAATACCCAAAATGAAAGCAGAAGATGCTTCAATTGTGGAAGAATCGGACATCTTCAAAGAACTTGTCGAAGCAGGACTCGTTCTATAAATCTAGAATCGGGGAATGATACCAGATAGATCAACCTCCTGAAGCCCGTCACGAAGTCTGTTAAGAAATAATTACAGCAGATATGCCTCCCGGAGAAGCCGGTCACCCACACCTAGCCGGCTCTCTAGCAATAATCAGGGAAACGAATAAAGGTCGATACTACGGGCGGGCGTCGGTTGTAACAGAGGGCCCCAAAATTTGCACTTACACCTAAATAAAAACAAACAAAATCTATTGGTCAAGGGGTATATCGATAACCAAAGCACCTTCGTTCTTGATACTGGTGCAACCAAGTCTTTCATTCGAACAGGCATCCTGCATCGAAAACCACGGCCAACTCGAAGAAGCTTAGTTCTGGAAACAGCTACAGGGCACACTACTCCTGTTCTAGGCGAGATATCAGCAACCAGACAGATTGGTAATACCCTAATAGAACACTTATTTCTGGTGGCCGATATTAAAGATCAGTGTGTCCTTGGTATGGACATAATGCAAAATAAGTTTATTATCGATCTCCAAAATAAGATTTTGGTAATTGGAAACGAAAAAATTGTCCTAAATTCGGAGGAAAAGACTCAACCGATAAAGGTACTGATGGAAGAAGATATAGAAGTACCCCAACATTCTGAAACTGTCGTCTCGGCAAGACTTAGCGAGAAATCACACGGCTTATATGTGGGCATTGTGGAAAATGAAGAATCTGTGAGTGAAGGAATTCTGGTATCTAGATGTCTCGTTAAGGTAGATCAACTGATTCCTGTAAGGGTAGCCAATTTATCGAAAAGACCGTTAAAACTAAATAAAGGACAAAAAATAGGACTCTGTACACCGGTAGAAAATATAATAAAGTGCGAAGACAGTTCTACGGGGAAAGCCACCACAAGTAACCCAGTTGACGCCAGCTTTGTGAAACGGCTAGTTAAAAATTATGACCATCTGACAGCTGAAGAACTTAGAAAAGTCAAAGAATTTATCAATTCCAACCGTGACATTTTCGAGACAGGAAAATCTACGGGGCGTACCAGTCGTGTCCAGCATAGAATTTATATAGCCGATGCAAGGCCAATACGGCAAGCACCTAGAAGACTTCCATTTGCTAAACAGAAGGAAATAGCAAATACGATACAGGACATGATGGAGGCAAATATTATTGAAGAAGCTTCTGGTCCCTGGTGCTCATCTGTGGTCCTAGTAACCAAGAAAGACAGATCTACTCGTTTTTGTGTAGACTATAGAAGATTAACCCCCTTATTCTGTAACTTATCGTTATGTACCGATGTCGTCAACTAACGATATGGATCTCTAACGACTTTTTACGGAAACCTTATTCTGTAAGAATGCCGTTTCATAAATTCACGCTAACGACAGCTAACCAATGTTTTTAGTATAGTCTATATACGCTAGTTGATATGAGTGGGATTAATATTCAAAATAGTTCATTTGAACCATCATTCAAGTTGACTTTTGTATAGATTTTTAAACCATTGAAAAGATAAATCTTTATAAAATATTTTCCGAATTTCAACATGGATAATAATACGTAAGTACCTATTTATTAAATTAAGGCAATATTTTATTTTCTTTTAAAAACTTAAAAAAAAAATGATTATTTGTAAATGTTTCAGCAGATCTGAACCGCAATAAAAAAAAAACAAGAAAAATGAAAACGACTCCGGACCAATATAGATTATATTTGGAAATGTTAGAATCCAATGTCCACTTCCGGGAAAACAAAATAGCTCCAGATAATCCAACTGGGCTAACAGACAGTTGGGAAAAGTTAGGAAAAAGCTTGAATGGAAGTGGTGGACCTCAGAGAAATATTGCAGAATGGAAAAGAGTAATATAAATTAATGGAATTAAATAAAATAATTATTTCATGTATAGGATGTTATCTCACTTTGACCTTTTAAAAAATGTTCATGGTTTAATAATATTGTCTACATCTAGCAAATTACATAAGGCGGTATAACAAATATACAGCTACTTCTATAAATGTGGGTAAATTGTTCATGGGATATGTACATAATATTCATTGTTATAGGTATTTACTGATTGGAAAAGCCAAGTGCGTAAAAGAGCTCGCCTCATCAGGAATTCCATGCAGGAAACTGGCAATGTGGGAGATCCAGAAAAAGATTTAACAGAAATAGAAAAAAAATTGTTGTTTCTAACTGGAGATATAGCAGTAGAGGGTATAAAGGGTATTCCGGAAATTGGAATAAATAATATGGAAAATATAAATAATGCAGTAGAGGAAGCTAAAGCTGTAGAGAAAGAAAAAAAAGAAGAAAGAGCAAGAAAGAAAATTACAACAAGAGCTGATACCAATGTATTAAATTTAATAAATATGAATTTGGAAAAGCTAGTAAAACTGAAAAAGAAAGAACTTCAGTTAGAACGTTTTAAACTTCGTTTAAAATATAACATTGAGCTGGCCTCTGAAAATGAGGGGTCTGAGGAAGACTGATTATATAATCAGGCAGAAGAAATTAACTGTGTTTTTAATTTTAAGTTATAAAAATAATTATTGTTTGTTTTATGTTTCCGATTTTAAATAAATAGAAATTAAAAGTTTCCAAAGTTTATTGAAAATTCCAACTGTAAGCAAGTATTATATAAAAACTCTAGCAATAATTGCATTACATAAAATGATTTCCTATTAAATTATTTCGTATATTCAAACCAACTTGATGCAGTTCTTGGCCATCGATATGTCTATTCTCCTCTTCACCATCTTCATCAAAAGCATAGTAATCCATGTCTACATTGGCATTTCTTAGAACATTATACAATGTAGCACAAGCAATAACTATTCGTGCAGCATTGTCTGGTTTGTAGTGAAGTGTTCTTTCCTTTAAAAGACATCTGAATGTTCCTTTTAACACTCCGATACATCTCTCGATACAATTTCTTGCTAAACATAGGGCTTGTGTGTACCTACCTTCTGGTGTACCTTCTTCTGCATTTAGAATGGGCGTTAACAAGAAAAGCTGTACTGGGTAACCAGAATCCCCAAGTAACCATGAATTTCTTTCACCATTGCGATAACGATGCTTTAGTTCCATGAAAATGTTACTCATTAACCAAATGGCAGAATCATGGACACTTCCAGGATGTCTGGCACAAATTGCAAGTATTTTTAAATTTGAATCACAAATTATTTGGCAATTTATGCTGTAATAATTTTTTCTATTTAAAAAAACAGCTCTCGGTGGATTTTCTCCAAACTTAGGTGCTACTATGGAAATGTGAGTTCTATCTACAATGCCAATTACCCCCGGAAAGTTGAATTTTTCAAAAAAAACATTTTTCACGTTTGTGATTTCATCCAAGGTTCTCGGAAAATTAATGAGTCGTCCGGAAAAATGTACAATAATTAAATTGGTCACTTCTTTTATGCACTTACTTACTGCTGGTTGAGACATGCAACAGTGTCTATCAGTTCCCACTGATCTTTGATAACTCCCTTGTGCATAAAAGTGTAAACAAACCAATAATCTGAGGGCCTTTGGTATCCTATTTGCTCGAGTTCCATCTTCGAGAAAGGGGTAGATTTCCAAAAATAACTGATTAGCTAATTCTCGTAGGAAGCGATACAGTCTTCTAAATGATTCATCTGCTATTGTGAACGGATTACTGGCATCTCTTAATTGTCTGGATCTTACATTGTATGCACGCCTATAAAAAAAAATGAGCAAAATTTATATTTTAAACTTTATTAACATATAGGATTATCATATACGTACCTTCTTTGCAGTTCTTCCATTATATATAAATTTCTATTTTACCTAAAACGGACATACACCTCGAAAATATTAGTAAATAAACAATTAGCACCATATATTTTCTGGAACGACCGCTTGCTTAACGATCACAACGACAGCATTTACCTGTATCGTTGACAACGACGCTAACCTAACCTTATATTCGTTACAAAAGGACATCGTTACGATTTACAGAATCGGAAAAGTCGTTGGCTAACGATAATCGTTTCATAACGATGTCGTTAAGAGTTACAGGGGGGTGGGTGGCTCAGTGGTTAGAGCCTGTGCCTGTGGATCCAAGGGTCCCAGGTTCGAATCCCACCGTTGGCCGGAATTTTTTCATTTAATTTAATTATTTAAAATTAATTCTGATGCCTTGGTAGGATTCCCCACTCGACCATTCACTGTTGGGTTCTAATTAACAGTGCTGTTCCTAAAGTGGCGCTGGGAAACAGTAACAAAGCCTACACAGAACACACATGATTGAGAATTTAAACACAAATTTGAGACTGGCATATTAGGTATACACACCTAGGCCATAAGTTACAGAATAAGGCTGTAAATCAGATAACGCTAAAAGACAGCTATCCACTTCCACGAATAGACGACACACTAAACACCCTATCAGATGCAAAATGGTTTTCCAAGCTAGACTTGAAGAGGATACTGGCAAGTGGAAGTACACATTGACGATCGAGACAAAACAGCTTTTTCAACTGGCAGCGGACTATACCGATTCCAGGTTCTCCCGTTCGGTCTCTGTAATGCCCCAGCTACCTTTGAACGACTAATGGAAATGGTTTTGAGAGGATTAACCTGGAAAACTTGTCTAGTATATCTCGATGACAATGATCATGTCAAAAACTTTTGATAAACATCTCATCTCATAAATTTGAGTGAAGTATTTGACAGATTAAGAAATGCCAATCTAAAGCTTAATCGCAATAAATGTTCACTATTCGAATCGGAAGCTTATTATTTGGGACACAGCGTTTCCGCGGAAGGAATCAAAATTGATCCAGAGAAAATTATCGCTATCAAAGATTGGCCTAAACCAGCCATACTCAACCTGCGGCCCTCCAAGCTTTTTTTGTGGCCCGCTAAATTTTTAAATAAACGTTTGGAATTTTGTGAGGTTACTGCAAAAACAAGATAGCTCCACATTTGGAATTTTTGAGTTAAGTAGGTATACTTTCTACAAGGTGAAAGAAGTCTATATTCATGATAAAGAGATAGCCAATAAAAAGTAACTCCATGTTAATACATTAACAATATGAACAAACCAAAATATAATCAATCATAACATTGTATTTAATTGATAAGTGTGTTAACCAAAACCAGATAATAGACATAACTTATTTTTGCTAAATATATTTAGTCCGATTCCTAATAGTGTTTCTGTCAAAACAAGATAAAGGCCAGAACCGAGGGGAAACCACTAAGGTCAAAATTTACCTGTATTCCGAAAATCACATAAAAATTTTTTATGTGAATTCGGTAATTTCACTGAAAATCCACCTTATCCATATTAGCCGGATAAGGCATGGTCACAGTTTATAGCTTAAAAGAATCAGTTCGCTCACTCTGCGTCGGCACTTTTGATCTCAATGTTCCAGTTTTACATTGCGCAACTCGAATTTGTATCCCTGGCGCATACGGAATCAAATCATAATAGCCCAAGAGCCCACTGTAAACTTTTACTGCCATCTGATAATGAAATAAAATATACCCCAAAAGCTTGTAAAAACATTGTACTTTACCGAATGGCACCTGTGACAATCCCAATCCTGAGCAAAGTGTTTAAAAAAAATATTTTATATTAAAAAAATCACATAAGGCATGACAGCGCTAATTTTGTTTGCCCTTAAAGTTTTCCAGATAATAACATATTCAAATATATCTTGATATATATCGTTAACGGGAAACATTTTCTTGCTCTTAACATCGAGCAAAAACATCTACACACAGTAGGTAAAAATCATTAAAAATGTGAATCAATTTTTGCTGACTTTGTATGCCTTTTGTTGTGATTCATTTTTACAGGTTGTCATAGAAACGACAAAAAAACTACTATGATTATAGTTTAAAAGAAATTGTCTAACAAGAGTTTATAATTATTATTGACTATGGGGTCTATTCTGTAACAATTCCTTTATATTTAACGGCCTTTAAAAATATTTTCTTCTTTACTTCTGTCATTATTTAAACGGATCTTTAAAATACATTAGAGGACTATCTTAAAGAAATCTGTTTAAATAATGACAGAAGTAAATTAACGAATACAAACATATTTTTAAAGGTCGCCAATATTTTTAAAGGCCGTTAAATATAAAGGAATTATTACAGAATAGACCCCTATCTCTGCCAAAGTTAGGCAAAAATATTAATAATTCAGGTTTAAAAGCTAGATTCACAATGAATTAGGATTGTCATTTTTAGAGAAAACACAATTATCGCTGTCATGTCTCATGTAATTTTTTGTATATAAAATAATTTTTTTTAACCGCTTTGCTCTAGATTACAGATTGGCACAGGAGCAATTTGGCAAAGTACATAGTTGTTACATGTCTTTGGAGCATATTTCATTTTATCAGATGGCGGTCGTAATTTGCAGTGGGCTCTCTTACTATTAACAATAACTGTCAGAGAGAAGGTCTGGTATATCTAAGGGGGTAGAGACGTAGTCTTGCATCTTGAACGTTTTTTTTTTTATTCGAAATAATAGTCACAAAGCCTGCCAATTTATGAAAAAATGTATCTTATTTTTATTGTGTTTGACATAAAATATTTAAATGATTCATGATTTTACGTATTGTAAACAGAAAACATTGTATGTCGCAACCCTTGGATATATCAAATCTTCCCACTGACAGTTCATTTGTTTGGAATGACTAATGCAATTATGACAACCGCCCACATACTTTGATTTTCTTTTACTATACGGAGAATGGTCGCACTGCGCAGCTTTCTGAGTGCCTTTTAAAAGGAGATAGAAAACTCCGCCATTTTGAACCCTTATTACGTGTTGCCTACATCTTGGCGCAATATTTTTAATAGCTTTGTTCGCGGAGCCTGTCGCCGACAAGTCCCCGACAGATACACATGCGCATTAGGATTTTAAGCGTTCGCGGAGCAACAAATCCGGGATTTTGACAAAATGTCCTGCGTTCGCGGAGCACTTATCAATGGTACAGGACAAGTTACCGACAAGTCAAAACTATCAGCAAACATTAGCATGGACAATTTGTCAGGACATGCGTAGTAGGTACATGCCCTGGTAAACAGAAAAGGAACGGATCAAAGACAAAAATTGTTAACATTGACTTAACACAGTCAGTAGGTAGCAGTATTAGCCATTTTTATTAAAAGTTCAAATGAAACAATTAAAACTCTACAATCAATGTAAAAAAATCGAATTTGTCAGACATTTGTATATAACCATCTTTCATCTGTGTAATTACAATTCTTCTTTTCTTATAAAAATCAAAACTTCCAAACGCTCAATTGCAGCTAATTTTGTGATAGTCATTTTTGTACACAAGTCGTTCGCGGTGATCTCTTGTCGGAGATTTGTTACCAGTCGCAGTTGCGCACAAACGTGTCTGATTATTTATCAGGGATAAGTCGTGTACTTGTCGGCGACAGGCTCCGCGAACAAAGCTTATAGGCACAGCTTATACAATACAGCTAAAACACTCTCTTGGCGGCAACGGTTTGCGTCGATTTCGTCGCGCATCGCTTAAGCTCCGCCTTCGAAGGGAAAAGACGGTTTTGGCGTTCAGAAGCGTACTTAGGTAAGGTGTTGAGTCGTGCGTATAATTTCGTTGATTGTATAATTTCGTGGAGCCTATAATTTCGTTGATTTTGTTTAAGTCAAAGGTGCTGTTATTATTTTGGTGACTCTTTAGCTGTGAGTAGAATGAGTGAAAAAAAAAGACATCATTCTGTTTGTGCAGTCAAAAGCTGTTTTAATAAGGGTTATACCTGCAAGAAAACATTCTTTAGTTTTCCCAAGGACCCAAACCGATAAGTACCACATTATAAGAAATTTTCATTGTTAAAAATATAATTTATACAGGGTATCCCATTAGTGCGTTATTGTTCATTATTTTGTTGTAGACACGCAAGAAAGTTTTAAATAAAAGTTATATAGATTTGAAAAATATCTACATATTTTAAAAATATCTTTGGATATACAGGGTGTCACGTTTTTGCCTGGCAAATTAAAATGTACGTTTTTTAAATGGAACACCTTGTATTTTATTTTATGATAAAATTATTAACACCCTAAATTATTGTAAAGACGAATTGATACAGAAAAATTTTATCTGGTATGTGTGTGGTTACCTTTTAATAAAAGCCTTGCGGATCCACTCCTCTGCGATACCTGTCTTAAATATAACAAAGATCACGTTGAATTAGATGATTTTTCTTTTTATTGCTTTTTAAAGGCATATGATAACGCCAATCCAGATACATTTGGAAATCTGCAACTGTCAAATGATGAATTTGTAGAACTAATATTCAATATTGAAAAGATATTTCAAAATAATTTTGAAGAATTGGCTACAAAAAATAACATTTGTACCACACTTTTAGAATTAATTAACCCAATACCCTTTAGTCATCCATGCTAACGTTTTCCAAAAGAATAACTTATTTTATTGTATGTTTAATCTCAATAACTAAAAAATATACTGACAATTAGTTTGACAGAATTGCCATTTATTTAAAATTTTAAAAATAATAGCAGTCGGTTGATTAAAATATGAACGGTGATTGGCGAATTTATTTTTTTTGCAGTGTTCTCACTACCTAGAATGGATATGAAATATATTCGTTCAATTGAAGGCAATAGCATACTTTTTCGTTTTGTAATCTGTGCATGGATATTAGCCAATCTATGCACATACTACAAAACGAAAAAGTATGTTATTGCGTTCAACTACGAATATATTTCATATCCATTTTAGGTAGTGAGAACACTTTAACAAAATTAAATCTACAAATCACAGTTCATATTTTGGTCACCCAACTCCTATTATTTAAAATTTTTTAAATAAGTGACAATTCTGTTAAACTAATTGTCAATATATATTTTAGTTATTGATATTAAATATACATTAAAATTTTTGTGTAGACTCGATAAATAATAGCATTTTTGTTTTTGTGTCCACATTTAAAAAAAAAAAATTTTAATCAAACTACATGATACTAATTTAATTACGAGTATTAAAACTAAAGTCCTGAAAGTTTCGGTGAAGATGAAGACAGAGCATCTGCCTTCCACGCAAAAAGCCCGGGATCGAATCTAGGCCGAGGACTAATTAATTTTTCATGTTTATTTTATTTTATAAATTAGTCAACTTCGTAAATTATTTTAAAATTAGTTATTTTGTCTAAATAACCTAAAATAATTTTTTAAATTTGTAGATTTTCGTTAGTGGGTCGTAGAAAAAATATACTAAGCATTAAATAAACTTGGTGGGTAAAATTTATTACTCCAGAGTGAGATATGTACAATATGTAAATACCAAGTTGTATAACACCAAATAAAATGAAAAATATATAAAGTGAAAACGATTGATGTGTATCATTTACCTGTAAAACGTAATATCTGCTTATTTCTTGCCGCTATAACTTTAACACTAATATGCTACACAATAAACCAATTATTAAATGTCATTGTTTGAATTTGAATTCAAACCGCTATGTCAAACAGCACGTTTGACAACCCACAAGAAATATATACAACGGAAACAGCCGAAGGCTGAACACGTCATACACTTTTATTTCATAAATAATAAAAAACCAACGCCTAAAAATAAACAATAACAATGCACAAGCCCTAATCAATAATTCTAATAGTTAAAATAATAAACAACTCACATAAATAATAATAAATAAGAATAATTAGAAAATCCCTCCATAATCAAGCTCCCTTATTGGCCAAACGAAAGGGTTTAAGGCGAGTCGGCGCGGGAATAGAGTCAGTGCGTCTCTAACACTCAACGTAAAAAGACGAGAGTAGATTTCTAACACTCTGTGATGAAACGCGCCTCCCCTGCTCGAGCAGAAAAAGTCTGCATTTATTGCATATGCGGAAAGTAGTGCTTTGCAACACACCCTTAACGGACTCGACCCGGGATTATCGGCACATTAAGAAACTACGTAAATTCTCTACATCGAGTGAGTGTGGGTTTCCCGCCTTAGTGCGTATGTCAGCAAATCAGTGTAAAAAGTGATAGTTGTAAGCAGGAAGCCCACCTACAGGTGCAGAGCCTGCACAGGTTCTTTTTTTGTTTATTTCCCCTTTCCTCTCTATTGAATAATTGTAAAAGATAACATAAATCGTTTGCCTGCAAGACCGGCATGTTTTGGCAGTGTTGCCACGTGTCACTAACTGCTTACCGACCCTTTTGATAATATAGAATGTTCAATGATTCCCAGTGCATTATTTTTCCCAATCACCAAGTGTTCCAGGATGCTCTCCCAGTGCAGCCATCGAAGAAAAATGTAATAGCGGCTTAACAAATGAACTACAGTCCGCTAGATGCCGTTTTAGGCTGGCTATTACAGTCATTTAATTCAAAAATCAGAAATAAACACGAACAAAAACTTTGGTGTCACCGAAATGATTAGCACCAAAATAATGGCGGCCAATAGATAATCGGCACAGAATACTACGTGTGCTCGATATACTTGTTACGCGTCCTCTCTTTATTACCTAGTCTAAGGTTTCAGTACACGAGTAGCGACTCTTCTCGCCCTACTACCTCCATGATTACGAAGTACGTATATTTTCACCCAGCAATGAATTTTTTGTTTAATAAAACAATTCTCAAGTATCTAGCATTTTTATTATCAGAATTTTAAATGAACATTATAAAAGGGTTAAATTGTTTTTTACAATATTTATATAAAAAAAAAACATGAAATGTAATTTTCATATCTTATTCTACCTCTTTCCCTTTTTATTAAGCACTACATGTACCTCAGGCCTCATTAAAGTTCCCTCTAAATGACACGAATCTTTCTTCCTTAAATTCACCTTTACGACAGTAAGAAGTTCAACAATTATGCTTACTTTTTCGAAATTTCTTCGCTTTGGAAACGTAATGGTCAATTTGTTTGTTTCATACTTCCAAGTTGTACCGCTTTCACAATTCTAAACAAAAAAAAAAAAACGTGAACTAAGTTACAAAGAACTAATTTATGACAGTCTTACATTTTGGTACATCCTTACAACACTTCCAGTTTTTAAAACAATAATATCAAATTTCTTTTCTTTAACATCAACAACCACGCAGTCTTGTGTGAAAGGTTGATGATTCTCAATGTAATGAACTAGATATAGATCTATACTAGCATCTTGTGCCTTTTTAGCCTGATATTTCTGTGTGTTACAGTTTTTCGCAATATTCTCAATATATTCAATATCCCACTCAGGTTGTTCTCGATAATCTAAAAATTTAAATAATATTAATGATTCCATCAATTAATCGTCGAAGAAAAATTTTAATCCTACAAAAACTCACTCAGGCTAGCGGCTAATAATCGGTGGACCATAATATCTGCATACCTTCGAATTGGAGAAGTAAAATGGGTATAAATTGGAACACTTAAAGCATAGTGATTAAATTGTGTTGGCGTTTCTACAGTAGCCGCGCAAAAATATCTAGCTCTTGTCATTGCTTTGGAAATCAAATGACTGAGTGCTATACCTCTGCTATATCCTAAAACAAAACAAAAACTAAAGATTAAAAATTATTTTCCAAATCTAATAATACAGAACTAGAATCCGCTCGGTTAGAGAGAGTATGTACATCATCATTTGCGTTGATAGACGTTTCGAGATATTTTGTTGTCACCTACTAAATCTCAGTAGGTGGTCGTAGGAACACAAATAGTAATTGTTTTCCTGAAAGAGAAAATGGGTGTTTCCGTATGATTATTTTGAAGCAGAATTTTAGTTTAGTGTAAACATTTGATTGCGAAAGTAATAATGTGGCAGCAGGGCCGGCCCCAGGGTAGGGCGAGCCGGGCGGCCGCCCGGAGCGCAATGATTAGGGGCGCCAAAATCATGGAAAATGAAAATAAACTGATAAAAAAAAATTAAGTTACAAGCTTTTATAAAATGCACTAAAAAGTAAAGAATATTTTTTTATCATTCTGATATCATATCAATAAATTATTTTTCATAATATTGCATTATCATCGGACCCTTGTAAGTATACCAAATTTCATTTAAATCTGTTCACGGGAATTTTCTCAAAAACGCGTTGCAAGATTTGACTGATAGTTGACAAGATTAAGAGGCGGCAGGCGGAATTTATCATTTTTATTTCTAAGCACATAATTCAAATAATATAATATATTTAAACATTAAGGCAAAATCTAGTTCAATTCAATTCAACATGACAAAATCACTCAACCACCGCCTTTCAAGAATTGACAAGTTTTTCGGCCCGTGGCAACACGACTGTACAGGAAACAACAATTTTGAAACCAAGCGAAACAAGATCTAACAGCCCTTTTTAACTGCATATAAAAAGGAAGTAGACTTAAAACAATGCATTGTTAGTGCAAAAAAGCTTTAAAAAAGTGCTTGTGCAAATTGTCCAGTGCGTTTGTGTTCTGTGAAGGTAAGTGTTTTAATTTTTGTTTTCATTTTTAAAAACTAAAAAAATCCATCAGACATAAGCCCAAAAAAGGGCGGGGGGGGGTGTAGATTTCAAAAATTAAGAGTTTAGATCAAAACATGGCTTGTGTGGTATCAAATGAAATTGAGTCTAAAGTTGAATAAAATACATTTTTTTAAGCCAGTGGCGCACAAGGGGGATTTCAGAAATTATAATTTAAATCAATCATGGCTTTTTTGATATTAGTATTATCTTTTAATTAATTTGTTCCAGAAACCAAAATGTCCGATGCTAAGAGAAACCCCTGGGAGCGAATTTAAAAAGCGGAGATTGAAAAAGCAAACAGCTTCAAAAACAGTCAGATGCACTGCAGAACTTCTTGAAAGAAGGTAATTTCAACGCTTCCACAACCGACCAACATTTGAACAACGCCCAGCACCTAGATGCTGACTTTCCGGATTTGGACCCCCCTTTGGACGCAACCGTCAGCATTACTGAGCTGGGTAAGTCATCTCAAACGAGTTTGGCGAGTAGTGATGCAGTTCCAAAAATCAAAATTCGCAAGTTGTGCAGACCTCAGAGAAACATTTAGAAAAGGCTACCGTCCAAAGTATCTCTTCTGACCCAGGATTATGGCCCGAAATCATGCGTGCAGCAGATACAGTTTTTTTGGTTAAACGTGGTCCAGCTGCACCTGTGTATAATTTTGATTTTCCTTTTGAAGATCAGCATAGAAGATTCTCACCAAAACATTACAAGAAAAGGCTTAGAAATGGAGAAGAGGTTTTAAGAGAATGGATGGTATATTCCGTATTTCAAAACGCTTTGTACTGTTTTCCATGTCGACTTTTTGCTGCACCATCTAGCTTGAGCGCTCTTGGCAATCGGGGATTTAAAGACTGGAAGCATTTAGGGCACTCTTTAGCACATCATGAAAATGCTAAAACTCATATAGATTGTTTGAAATCATGGCTTGAATTGAAGCAAAGATTGAAAATAGGTGAAACAATAGATGCAGTTTCTCAGAGACTCAATTGATTCTGAGATAAATCACTTGTCTCAAGTTCTTTTACGCATTATATCAGTCGTTAAAATGCTAGGTGAGAGCTATCTAGCTTTTCGAGGAACAAGCGATAAACTGTATGAACACAATAATGGAAACTTTTTGAAGTTAATTTAGTTATTGGCCGAGTTTGATCCAAAAATGGAGGAATACGTTCGCAGAGTCCTCAATAAAGAAGAAATCAAAGCTACATATCTAGGGAAAACTATACAAAATGAAATAATTGAATTATTGCATGACAACATAAAGCACCACATCATTGAGCAAGTTCAAAAGGCCAAGTATTATTCCGTGAATCTTGACTGTACTCCCGATACAAGTAAAGTAGAACAGATGACATTTGTGGTAAGATTTGTTTCCATATAGGAATCAGAGTCTGAACTTCAAGTTAATATCAACGAACAATTTTTGGGTTTTCTACCCATTGAGAGATCAACAGCTAAGGAATTGTCGGAGGTTTTACTAGAAGAGCTAGAGAAAAATAGGCTTTAAGAAGAAAACATGCGCGGTCAAGGGTATGACAATGGTCCCAATATGAGAGGAGAAAAATCGGGAGTACAAACAAGAATCAGAAATATAAACCCCAGAGCATTTTATGTTCCATGCAGCAGCCATTCGCTAAATTTGGTTGTAAACGATATGGCAAAATCCTCGTTTGAGGCAGCCAACTTCTTCAATATTGTTCAAAAGTTATAACATTTTTTTCTTCTTCTTCTTTTCATTGGGCAATATTACTGAAATATATTGATACTTACACCCTAAAACCATTGAGTGATACTAGATGGGAAAGTCGAGTCGACTCATTAAAAGCTCTGCGGTTTCAAATTGGTCCAATTCACGATGCTTTGTACAGCATATATGAATATTCAGAAATCGATAATATGATCAGAGATGAGGCTAGCGGATTATTAAATAATTTGAAGCAGTTCAAATTTATACGCTCTGTTGTGATCTGGTACAAAATTTTGAGTCATGCTTAGCAACTGCAAACTCTTCTTTGAAGATCAGATGAAGCTTTTGAAAGCATCAATTTAGAAGTAACCGAGCTTGCTTCAGAGATTGACGTGGAAGCTAATTTCGAAACCTCCACACCACGTCCATCGTATCAGAAGCAAAACAAGAATGTTTTTGTATGAGGGCCCGGATGAACCCGTTCAAGACCTCAAACAAAAATATAAAAGATTTCTTTTTTTCACACTATAGATCAAGCAATAAATGCCTTGGAAACCAGATATAATTTGCTAAATACAGTAATTATTTCAACTTTTTGTATAATATTTTTGGTCTAAAAGACGTGCCCAGAAATGAGCTACTGGCTCATTGCAAAGATTTGGAAGTAGTTTTAACTGATGGAAATTCAAGCGATCTTAACGCCCTGGAACTAGCCGATGAAATAAGCATTGTTTCGCCATTATTAACAAAAAAGGAAACCCCTGTTGAAGTGCTCAAGTTTATCGCTACACTTAAATTCGCACCAAACCTCAGCATAGCATTAAGAATCCTACTTATATTGCCTGTCACTGTGGCTTCAGGGGAAATAAGCTTTTTCAAAACTAAAAGTAATAAAAAAATTATCTCAGAACAATGCAGACGCAAAATCGTCTCAATGGATTGGCAATGATATCTATAGAACACCAAATTAGGGACAAATTAGATTTGAAATCACTGGTTCGTGAGTTTGCCGAAAGGAAAGTTAGAAAAAGGACATTTTAATTACTTTGGTTAGTTAGAATTTATTTATAATATGGGATATTAGCTTAGTTAGCATTACTACATTTTAATTTTTGTTATTTTGCCTTAAGTGCTAAATTGCTTATCTTGTTATCTGATGATCGAGTTTTTAATAAAACGTTTTTTTATTTTTTTTTTTCAATGTTTTCTTGATTTTTTGATATGGTCGCATAAGATTCACTTAAAAAAAAACGGGGAGAAGGCGCAAAATTAAGGTTTTGCCTGGAGCGCCAAAATGTGTAGGGCATGCCCTGGTGCATTTGAAAGATACGTAGAGTTAAACGCATCCTTAAGTAATATTTTACCTGGATAATCTTCAGTATGATATTTTTTCAAAGAAGCCTGAATTTCTCCTGCAGATGATATATTTAAGTGAATACCATACATAGCTAATTTATTTTGAAGATTAACTAGCATATTTTCTTTCGGTGGCTGATGGCATCTCAAAAAAGCTAATTCTGGGAAACTTTCATTTATCTTTTGAGCTACGGAAATATTAGCTAATAGCATAAATTCTTCAATTAATCTATGCGAATCTTGACTTTGGTAAACGGAATAGTCCAAAGGGTCACCAGTCTCAGAATTTAATTCAAAACATAATTTTAGATTATCTATTCTTAAAGCACCATTCTTGAATCTATTTTCTCGTAAGATTATTGCTAAACTCTGTAATACGTTAATAGTTGTCACTATATCTTTAGTATCAAAACCGTTGTAAAGTTGAGGAAAGTCTAAAGAGGTAAACTCTTTATTTGGATTTTCAATAATCATTTGAGCATGTTCATAAGCCAGTTTAGCACAAGAATTCATTACAGTTCTTACGAATCGTGTATTCAACAATTCGGCTTTTGGTGTCATTTCCCAGAAAACAGAAAATGACAATTTATCTTCACCTAAAAAAATTCAACAATTTAGTACATTTTATTTACTTTTCAAAAAAGACGGAATGTGACAATTTATCATCATATAACAAAAATTCAACAATTTAGAACATTCTATTTAAAAAAAAAATACCTGGTAACAAAGAACAACCGAGACACATTTCTTGAGGCAACATGTGATAAACAATATCAACAAGATAAATAGTAGTAGCCTTTTTACTAACAATTTGATCTAGTTCACTGCCTTCGTCAAGAAAAAAAGACGCGTCAGAAATGTGAACTCCAACTTCATAGTTTCCATTACCTAGAACTTCTACTGATACAGCATCATCAAGATCTCTTGCTGTACTAGGATCTATAGTAAAGATGCATTTTTTTCTTATATCTTCACGATACTGAAATTCACTTTCTGGTATCGACTTAAACATTTTTACATTATCTTTTAAATTGTCACTAAATGGTGTCGTATCTAAATTAAATTCTTTAAGTATAGACATAGCTTCTACCTTAAGATTTCCCGACTCTCCTAGTTTTTCAATAATTGTACCAATAGCATATTCCGGAACATTCCAGTCTAATAATTCGGCAACAAATAGAATTTTATCAAAGTCTTTAGGGTTTTTTTTAAAGTTATTTGGCCAACTTAACTCAGATATATGCATAACTGGAAATCTTTTATCTCTGGGTGCTAAAATAGCATAGTTTCCATCCTTGGGATCAATGGATTTTAAGGTACCAACCACTTTCCTAGGATGTATCTAAAAAATATATAGACTATAGAAACAGTTAATAACTGATTCTAATTATATTAAAACCTTTTCTTTTATGTACACCACTCTGGCTGTCTTATTTTCCTTATTTTCTCCAATCCATTCTTCTTTTGGTTTGATTTGTAAAATAACCTCATCACCTTCTAATGCTCGGTTTCTATCAGTTACTGATAATATAATATAATCTGGGATACTTGTATCGTCGTTACTAACATAAGACTCGCGAAAATTTTTGGGATTAATCCTAATAAAACCTGAAAATAATGCATTATTAATACTTATTTACTTGTTTAGAAGGGCATTATACACTTGTTGATTACATTTTTTTTTTATATTTTCCGTGGTGAAGTAACAGTAAAAATACATTTTATTTATTTAAAATCTTTATTCACCCATTAAATAATTTGTCTAACAATACATCAACATAAAATAAAACACATTGTACGCAGTACAAATATGTGGCCTTAGTGGTAAACCGCTGAGGCCTAAGACGGTCTCCCCGCCTGTAATGTGTCGTATATTTTAAATATAATGAAATAGCAAAATATAGCCGCCCTCACTATCTACCCTAGGGTATTATTGTGGGAATTGGAAGGATTTGTATCAGGAATTGAGAGTAAAAGTATATTTGTCGCGTCTTAATTTTGTATTGTTCCCTGAAAAAGCTAGGAAAAAACAGGGTTGTCGTTTGTAGTATGTGGTCTTGTACTTATCTACGGTTTTTTGTCATAATTCACTGAGAGGGTAGGCTATAAACCACCCGGAAGTGCTGCAGTCGAGAACAAAAATCGTTCTCGGCCGAGGCAATACCGGTCAGTTGATAGCTCAGCCCTCCGTCGAACTAGATCTCGTAAATATCCAGTCCGTGTGAATTATAGTTTTTATTGTCATGGGTCCTGTTACTGTCGTCGATATATGCCAAGATTTTTATGAATGCAACCATGTTTTCTACGCACGCCGTCTCCCTGATGAATTTGAATGATGCTATCCCTCAACTCAAAGATAAAATCTTACAATATCTAAAAAACATCACTAATTTCAAAAATGCTAATATCTACATCAAAGAACTACCAACACCAGAAACACAAAATAAATGCTTTATGCTTAGTGCTGATTTCCACTTAAAGGATGAATTATATAACCCAAATAACTGGCCAAGAAGTGTGGCTATAAGACGTTTTGATTTTAAAAAGTATCACTCTTATTTAAATAACATACAAAAAAGCAGTATAGGACAGCGCAGGAGGTTTTTTTAGAACAGGGGAATTTTAACACGTGGATGGACTGAAGACAAAAGTGATAAAAACTATGACTGTGGAAACATTTACAAAGAAGAGAAGATAAGTGATATAACTGTAATGCACTTAAATATACAAGGTATGGCAGCAAAGAAAATATCCCAACTCAACTCGAAGTTTTATTAGAAGACTGTACACCTGATATACTTTGCATATCAGAGCACTGGTTGTCTTCTATAGACATTGATGATTTTAATTTAATAAATAACTATTTAAGGAAAGTAAATACACATGGGGGGCGTTTGTATACTGTCTAAGAATGGTATATTTGCTAAACCGGTTATTTTCAATAACTATCGAAAAAAATGCTGAATTTACAATAATACAACTAGATATATTAGACAAACAGAAAAAAAAAACTATTTATTGTGACGCTATACAGAACCCCTGATAGTAATTTAGATACATTTTTAAACGGAATTTATGATCTGATGTGCTGTATATATATATATAAAAAACTATCTCTACATTGTTTGTGGAGATGTGAATGTAGATACACTAACTGATAACACAGAATCGAAAAACTTAAAAATACATTCCTAGAATTTGATATGTACAATCAGATAGACAAGCCTACACGTATTAATAGAAGCATTGATGTATTTTTTTCAAATATTCTAGTTGATACATGTCAAATAGAAGATACGCATTTGTCAGATCATAAATATCAATTATGTAACTTTAAATTTGCAGGAATGGTAAATAATTTTAATTTTAATAAAGTTTTATTCAGGCGGGACTATTCAGATGGTAACCTGATGACCTTCAGAACATTACTGGCCAGTGAGGACTGGTGTGAGGTATATAATAACGGAGATATAAATTCAAAATTTAATGCTTTCTTTACAACATATATCAATATCATTACCTTAATGCATTCCCATTAAAAAAAATCAAAATCAGAGAAAATAAAAAGAAGAAGCTATGGTTGACAAAGGAGATCAAGGATATGAACAAACTGCTATGTGAAATGCACAAATTGTCAAGGGATACAAACAATCAGGTAATAAAAGATAGGTTTAAAAAACTTAAGGGTATATATGGATTTATCGTAAAGAAAGCTAAAGTAGAGTATAATAATAAAAGAATATTAAATGCAGACAATATCGGGAGGGAGTCTTGGAAAATAATAAATGAGAGTAGAAATAAAACAAGTTCTAGATCACCTTTTGAAATAAACATAAACAACAATACTGTAACAGATAAACAAGTAGTGGCCGATTACTTTAATGATTTTTTTAAAGATATAAAAAGTCACACCAAATAGGGACCTGAAAATATTTCTCTATTTCTGTATCCTACAACTCAAACAGAAATACAAACCAAGACTGTCAATTTCTGTGTATAAAGTGGGAGAACTGCGAAAAGCCTGTCCAACTTCTGTCTCTGCTATAACATGAACAAGAACATACAGTTGTAAGTGTATCATGCTTTTAGGCAATACATATATTTTTTGTGGAATTACGTTTTTGTTAATTTGTAGTTATGAGAGCAATAAACTGATTTATTATTATTATTATTTTGATGTCAACCAATGAAAAAATGTTTATTTATTAATTTCAAGTTCAAGGATTTACATTTTTTAGGATTAGAACATAATATTTTTAAGCAGTTTCATTTGGGAAGAAGTATTTTACAATCAAACTCTTGAAAACATGGTAAATATTTTATATAATCTATATTTAGCTATTGATCTATATGTACCACTGAAAAAATTCTGTAACACAACATTTCCTAGATGGTATTCCACAGAACTGAGAAACTGTATAATAACTAAAAAAAGAGCTCATGAAAAATACAAAATAACTAATTCATTACAAGATTATCAAAAGTTTGCAAGACTTAGATCACTTTGTAAAAGACTGGTAAAAGAATCGCATTACAATTATATTTCTCAAACAGAATCAATACCAAATAACTTAAAACAGTTTTGGAAATTTGTAAATGACAAAAGAAAAACCTCAAACTTTCCTAGTGAATTAATATACAGGGTGTCCTTTAAAATGTGTCCCAAAATTCTCAGGCAGATTCCTTAACCAAAAAATGGAAAAAAAGTTCCTATAGACCTATGTCCTAAAGTGCCCTCTAAGCGAGCAACAGCCTCTCGAAATCATTTTTTTATTTTGATTTTTTGAATTTTCTTAAAAATGGAAACAAATAAAAGAACCAAATTTTGGCTGTTAAATATGATCAATAATAGTGACCTTTTGACACCTTCAAAAAGAAATTATTTCGTCAGGGGTGTACTTGGGAATTTTTTGAAAATTTTGATTATTCATAACTTTTTTGTGTTTTTGGTAATGACTTATCCATATTTTTTTTTACATTCTACATTGAAAACTACGTCAAAAAGGAATACTTGTTTGATCTCGATTGGAGCAGCCGTTTCCGAGAAAACATCATCCAAAGATATTCGTGCAGTTTAGGTTAATTTTCAATTTTGGCTGTTGTAGCCAAAAAGTTGGAAATCGAGGAACACGGCTTACATGTCCCTATCCTTACTTTTGAAGGTCTATTCAGTGGCAAAAAATATTAGTTGATACAGGGTGATCAAAAATCGGATGTGATTTTGGATTTTTGATCACCCTGTATCAAATAATATGTATTTTATGTCACTGAATAGACCTTAAAAAGTTAGGATAGGGACTGTAAGCCGTTTTCCTCGATTTCCAACTGTTTGGCTACAACAGCCACCTGAATTTGAAAAAATGTGATTTTTGAGTAGCTGTAGATCCTTTACTATTCATATTAGATAACAAGTGTGATATATCATTGAAATCAGATTATCGAGCAGATTCTAAAAATATAAAAATATACAGGGTGTTCCATTTAAAAAACATAACTTTGATTTGGCACGGCCTTATGAAACACCCTGTCACATCGTAACTAATTTTAAAATGTGAAGCTTAAAGCTGCCTACTTTTATTATAACAGATCTACAGAGCTTCCTCACACTAATCAATCACCCTGTATACTATTTTTAGCTCTCTAAATAAAATTTAAAAATTTAGTTCCCATTTATTTATTATGAAGACCATAAGGTTTGTATTTAGCTGTTTAGAATAAAAAAGTAAAAATATGTATTTTTTTGGCGTTTTTGTGTTTCATGGATAATTTTTTTCGCTCACTGATAAAAATGTTTCTTCAGTTAAACATTATTTCTAAAAGTGTTCTGGTGCGATTCGTTGTATTGTTATTATTTTGTTTAAAATGGCTCACAATAACTACAATAATGATTACACATTCGGCGAAATGACGGACATGCACTTATGTTTTGGACTCGCTTCTGGAAATGCCAATGAAGCTCGCAGACTTTATCAGGAGCGCTTTCCAAATAGGCATCTTCCATGCGCTAAGACGTTTTCTAGAATTGACGATAGACTTCGGGAAACTGGTACATTTAAGAAAAACTCTAGTAACAGTGGAAGACAAAATTATGTGAGAACTCCTGCTTTGGAAGAAGCAATTTTGGATAGGGTAGCTGAAACCCCATCGACAAGTACCAGAAAAATAGCAAATGGTAAGTAATTACTTATTTATTATTTTAGCTACCCCGTACCTTATCGTATAAAACTAGTTTTTTTACTTGTTATTGCTTCTCTTACATTTCACGACTTTTCGTATCGAAAAGAGTTGCGTTATGCAGAAAAAATCTGATTTCCCAAATCAATGGATTCTCTTTCTTAACTATTCACTACACAGATTCTCTCATTTAATTTCAGAAGTGGGAGTCGGACGTAACACGGTATGGAAAGTTTTGCGTGAACAACAATTGTACCCTTACCACATTCAAAAAGTTCAGGCACTTAAAGCTACTGATTATGAGCCGCGAGTTATCTTTTCTGAATGGTTTCTTGGAAGATGTAATCAAGATGCAATGTTTCATAATAAAGTGCTATTTACCGATGAAGCTGGTTTCACTAGAGATGGTATAATAAATTTTCGAAATATGCATGAATGGGCTGAAGATAACCCTCACGCGGTTGTTGAACGTCACCACCAGGATAAATTTTCAATAAACGTCTGGGCTGGAGTTATTGATAATTACCTTATTGGACCATTTGTTTTGCCGAATAGGTTAAATGGAGCAGCATACAGGCTTTTTTTGGAAAATAACTTACATGAGCTTCTTGATAATATTCCGATTCAAATCAGACATAACATGTGGTTTATGCATGATGGAGCTCCACCACATTACAGCCTTGAAGCTAGACAGCACCTTAACGAAAGATTTGAGGGTAGAGTAATTGGCAGAGGTTGTCCTGTTAACTGGCCACCTCGTTCACCAGATCTAAATCCAATGGATTTTTTTGTTTGGGGTTATTTAAAATCATTGGTTTATTCCAGTCCTGTTGAAACAGTTGAAGAATTGGAAGAACGAGTTTTTCATCATTGCGAAGTTCTTAGGAATAATCCTGAAGTATTTTTTCGTGTAAGACAGTCTATGATGCGACGGTTGCGCTTGTGTGTGGAAACCAATGGTCGCCACATTGAGCATCTGCTTTAATTTTTTTTGATTTGTTTTTTTAGAATAAATATTTTTTTAAACCGTTTCTTATTATTAAATAAAAATAGTCCCACCACGACATTTGAACTACAATTATTTAGAGAGAGCTAAAAAAGTTATTTTTATTTACGAGATTCACCGAGGTAATTTAGGAAAATTGAAAATTAAGCTAAAGTGGACGAATATCTTTGGATGATGTTTTCTCGGAAACGGCTGCTCCAATCGAGATCAAACAAGTATTCCTTTTTGACGTAGTTTTCAATGTAGAATGTAAAAAAAAATATGGATAAGTCATTACCAAAAACACAAAAAAGTTATGAATAATCAAAATGTTCAAAAAATTCCCAAGTACACCCCTGACAAAATAATTTCTTTTTGAAGGTGTCAAAAGGTCACTATTATTGATCATATTTAACAGCCAAAATTTGGTTCTTTTATTTGTTTCCATTTTTAAGAAAATTCAAAAAATCAAAATAAAAAAAATGATTTCGAGAGGCTGTTGCTCGCTTAGGGGGCACTTTAGGACATAGGTCTATAGGAACTTTTTTTCCATTTTTTGGTTAAGGAATCTGCCTGAGAATTTTGGGACACATTTTAAAGGACACCCTGTATAATAGCATAACAAGTTCTAGTGGTAATGATATAGTTAATTTGTTTGCTGATTTTTTTTCAAAAGTATATGTTCATAATGATTGTGATATTTCAAAGGTACCTGTATATAATATATTTAACTGTGATATTAAAATATCCGATGTTTACACTAAACTAGCAGCTTTAGACATTCGTAAGTGTCCTGGGCCGGATGGAATTCCTCCATCTATTCTAAAACCATGTTCTTTTATTTTAGCACAACCACTGTTCATAATTTTTAACTTTTCTCTCTCTCTGGGCACATTTCCAACAGTTTGGAAGACAAGTTATATAACACCAATTTTTAAATCTGGCAACACATCCAAAGTAAAGAACTATCGAGGTATTATCTTGAGTACTATACCAAAATTATTTGAAAATCTGGTTTGCGAACCTTTAACATCTTCACTCAACAATATACTCATAGATCAATAATTTGGCTTTAGATGTAAAAGTTCAACAGAATTAAATTTATTAACATATTCCCACTACCTGTCAAATGCCCTTGAAAATGGATATGAAGTGCATTCTATTTATACTGATTTCTCCAAAGCCTTAGACCGGGTAAACCATAGAGTTTTAATCCATAAATTGAAAATGGCTGGGGTAAATGGATCACTTTTAAATTGGTTAGAAAGCTATTTAATTGATGGACGTCAAATTGTACATATTTCAAACTACAAGTCATATGGCATACACGTACCTTCAGTCGTCTCACAGGGCTCACATCTAGGACCACTACTTTTTAATATATTTGTAAATGATATTAAATCCTGTTTTCATTTTGGTAAATTCCTTTTATTTGCAGATGATCTCAAACTGTACTCTACAGTATCATCTGACCTTCACTGTATGTCACTGCAGTCTGATTTAGAAAACTTAATCAATTGGTGTGACTTAAATGGAATGAGCCTAAATTCGGATAAATGTAATGTTATCATATCCCATTGAACTCGTGCTACAATTAATTTACAATATACAATCAGTGCCAATATCCTGGAGAACTGCAACATTATTAGGGGTCAACTCTGACTCACAACTATCTTTTGTTCCACATATTTCAAATATTATCAACAAATCTCTACAGATGTTAGGATTTCTAAAAAGAACTACTCAGGATTTCACAAACATCAACACTCTTAAAATCTTATATTGTTCTTTAGTCAGAACCCATTTAGAATATGCTTCAGGTGTTTGGTCCCCAAACTATGTCTCACATATTGTTAAATTAGAAAGAGTCCAGCATAAGTTCTTACGTTATGTGGCCTTTAAGTAGGGTATTGGAGTCGAAGTTATCAACTACTCTAAATTGGAGACAGATTTGAATATCCAATCTATTAACAGCCGTTGAAACAAAAAAGATCTCATAATGTTATGACATATTTAATTCTCGAGTACTGTGTCCTCAATTGTTGCAAGAGATAGGAATTCACGTCCCACCCAGGACAACCTGCTCAGCGAACATTTTTCAAATACCCTTCCACAGGACGAATTATGGACGTAATACCTTCATTGTTCGTTCTGCTAGGTTCACAAATACCTACCGTACTGACCTCGATTTCTTTAGCTCCGTCAGCTCATTTATTGAAGGTGTATTTTTACTTATTTTTTATAAATGTACTTTATTAACTGTACTGTAGTATTATTTGTATTTTATCTATTTTAACTATTATTTGTATTATTTAATTTGTATCTTTATTTTATTAGTTGAAATTATACTGTGTAATGCTATACATAACATTGTATTTAACTAAAAGGGGAATGACCTGTTAATATATAAATAAATAAAATAATTAGAGTAAGGTCACTTTACCTTTTATTAAACTGCCATTTGATAAACCTATAGACACATCTTTTTCACTGAAGTATTCTGAAAATTCTTCATTTTTTTCTAATGATTTCTTTTTTCCTTGTCTTCTTAGATCATTTTTAGGATATTTTCTAATATGTATTTTGTCTAGTTTTTGTTTATATTTTTTAGGATTCAACTTTCCTTCAATATATATCCTAGATTCAAATATATAGCAAGGGTTTGTATTTAGGAAAGACTGTAAATTAATGAATTTTGCAATAGTTCTTGTTCGAAAAAAAGCACCTTTTTTATTCATATTAGCTGGTTTTATTGAAAAGCCGCATGATAATCCTAATCTAGCTGATCTAACTTGTATAGTGTTACTAGTTGAAGCTTCTTGCATATAAAAGTCCTGGCATAAATTATTTTTTAAAGTCTTTCTAGTTTGATGCACTACTATCGTTTTTAATGGTGAAGCTGAAACACTGCTATTTGAGGAAACTGAATGCATAGAGGTATTCCCTTCATCAAGTTCGTCTTTATTTTTCTTTTTCCTTGGTCTTCTTCTAATTCTTTTGTATACTTCATGTTCACCAGTATTATGGAAAATTCTTTGATTTGTTAGGACACTGCTTTCACTGTTATAAAATACTTGTGAAGTATTTGGATTCTCTGTCGAAATTGAATTATTTTGGAAACTATCGTTTAATTCAGAAATTGGTAAGACTAAGGCTTTTTTACCATCATGTTTATTTGCCATTTTTATAAACTTTATACTGTAATATTATGTGTATGTATCTCGATGCCGTAATTTAACTATGCGTGGCCATATAATAAACAGATAAATCACAGATCACTTAAAGCATTTTTTGGCGTGCTCCTGCTCCCGTTGATAAACAGTGACACCGAAACCGTGACATGTCAAATGCCCCCACTACCATGTCTCGGTTTCTAAAAAATTCTTCGCAAAAATGAACCGGTTTACGTCAATCGTCAACGTTTGGTAAACGAGGTGTTATGTGTATTTAAAAGGCATTTAACAATAAACAAACTGTGAAAAATCTAAAATTGAGGAAGACAGACAATTTTTCTTTTAAATAACAAATTCAAATAGAGTTTAGAGATAGTTCAACGAAAACATAAAATAAAAATATGAACGCACAAAATAAAACGCAACTCTGGGGTGCTATTTTCAAAGTCGAGAGAATTCATTTCTCTCGACAGAAATGTCATACGTCAACGTAAAACAGTATTTTTAGGGTCCTAAGGGCCAGTGTAAACTCACTGATTGTTTCTCACGGTTTATTTAGAGATAATTAATATCCTCCTAAGAATTTTAATCCGCGAGGCCTTTAAAAACAGCGTTTCCACATTGACGTATGACATTTCTGATGAGAATCTTGAGAGAAATGAGTACTCACACGGTTTGAAAATAGGTCCCCTCGCAGCTACCAAAAATTCCAAAACAAAACGGTATTAAAGCATGCTATGAACGTCAACTGTCACTATCAACCGTTTGTTCACCACCTCAAGAGGCCGGGAACCACATACTTTGATTTTCTTTTACTATACGGAGAATGGTCGCACTGCGCAGCTTTCTGAGTGCCTTTTAAAAGGAGATAGAAAACTCTGCCATTTTGAACCCTTATTACGTGTTGCCTACATCTTGTCGCAATATTTTTAATAGGTGCGTTTTAATCATCCGCTTCTGCTTCGGAATTGTCGGTTTTCGTGTTTTAATCTGACAGGTTAAAACGACTAAAGGCTAGTTCATGTAGATGCGAATCGCGAATTGCGAAAGCGAAATTCGCAAAAAAATATATTGTTTTTTTATGTCAATGCATGTACCTGCGAATGTTTTGACAGGATTCTGGGATATTTATTATTTTCACTAAAACATATTCGACAGTTGGTATTATTCCACAACAATACATAACCCTATATAGTTCAGTGACATAACCCCGATTCGCGTCTGCTACCGATAAATAGTTTTATAAAATAAAATGAATGACGAATACGATAATGAATTAGCTTTATTTATTGTTAAAAAATACATATTATTAGAATTAATGGTACGCAGTTTACGTCTGTGAAACATTTAAACAGGAAACAACAAAGAGCAAAATATCACAATTTAGCATATATTCGGCTAAATCACACTAAAAAAAAAACAAAGAAGAATATCATGAACATACCGCATACAAATACCGCAAATATAATACAAATATACCCTATATCATAATCCACAACAAACGAACAAACTCTAGTAGGCGCTACTACGCTTGCGCTCACATAAAATTTGTGCGATATTCGCAAAATATTAAAACGATTTCAAGATTCCCGCCCCCCAGATTTTGAATAATGCGAATTCGCAAGAAATTGAACTTTCGAGCTGTCAAAATTTCCATCTTGTCATTATTGTGATATTGACCAATGGCAGCGACCTTCGCGATTCGCAATTCGCGATTCGCAACTACATGAACTAGCCTTAAACCGACAATTCCGGAAGCAGAAGCGGATGATTAAAACGCACCTGAAATTTTGCTTGCTGCTGTCAGTGTCAGTGAATATTATTTTTGAAGTCACAGTTTATTGCTAAAGAATTAGTTAGCTCACTCAGACCAGTTGAAAGTTCCAAAATAACATCCACTTCAGGTATACAAATTCAGGATACGCAGAAGACTGCTGTTTTATTATAGGCGGTTGTCATATATTGTATTATCCGAGTTGCGCAGTGTATAAACTGGAACATTGAGATCAAAAGTGCCGACGCAGAGTGAGCGATCTGATTCTTTAGCTGTAAACTGTGTCACAGGGTTCAAAATGGCCGCGCCCTATGTTGGGCGTGTCGGACCTCTCTCTTGCCTCGTATAGTAATCAAAGTATGTGCCGCACATACTTTGATTTTCTATTACCACAGCTTATAGAATACAGCTAAAACACTCTCTTGGCGGCAACGGTTTGCGTCGATTTCGTCGCGCATCGCTTAAGCTCCGCCTTCGAAGGAAAAAGACGGTTTTGGTGTTCAGAAGCGTACTTAGGTAAGGTGTTGAGTCGTGCGTATAATTTCGTTCATTGTATAATTTCGTGGAGCCTATAATTTCGTTGATTGTATAATTTCGTGGAGCCTATAATTTCGTTGATTTTGTTTGAGTTAAAGGTACTGTTATTATTTTGGTGACTCTTTAGCTATGAGTAGAATGAGTGAAAAAAAAAGACATCATTCTGTTTGTGCAGTCAAAAGCTGTTTAAATAAGGGTTATACCTGCAAGAAAACATTCTTTAGTTTTCCCAAGGACCCAAACCGATAAGTACCACATTATAAGAAATTTTCATTGTTAAAAATATAATTTATACAGGGTATCCCATTAGTGCGTTATTGTTCATTATTTTGTTGTAGACACGCAAGAAAGTTTTAAATAAAAGTTATATGGATTTGAAAAATACCTACATATTTTAAAAATATCTTTGGATATACAAGGTGTCACGTTTTTGCCTGGCAAATTAAAATGTATGTTTTTTTAATGGAACACCTTGTATTTTATTTTATGATAAAATTATTAACACCCTAAATTATTGTAAAGACGAATTGATACAGAAAAATTTTATCAGGTATGTGTGTGGTTACCTTTTAATAAAAGCCTTGCGGATCCACTCCTCTGCGATACCTGTCTTAAATATAACAAAGATCACGTTGAATTAGATGATTTTTCTTTTTATTGCTTTTTAAAGGCATATGATAACGCCAATCCAGATACATTTGGAAATCTGCAACTGTCAAATGATGAATTTGTAGAACTAATATTCAATATTGAAAAGATATTTCAAAATAATTTTGAAGAATTGGCTACAAAAAATAACATTTGTACCACACTTTTAGAATTAATTAACCCAATACCCTTTAGTCATCTATGCTAACGTTTTCCAAAAGAATAACTTATTTTATTGTATGTTTAATCTCAATAACTAAAAAATATACTGACAATTAGTTTGACAGAATTGTCATTTATTTAAAATTTTAAAAATAATAGCAGTCGGTTGATTGGCGAATTTATTTTTTTTTGCAGTGTTCTCACTACCTAGAATGGATATGAAATATATTCGTTCAATTGAAGGCAATAGCATACTTTTTCGTTTTGTAATCTGTGCATGGATATTAGCCAATCTATGCACATACTACAAAACGAAAAAGTATGTTATTGCGTTCAACTACGAATATATTTCATATCCATTTTAGGTAGTGAGAGCACTTTAACAAAATTAAATCTACAAATCACAGTTCATATTTTGGTCACCCAACTCCTATTATTTAAATTTTTTTAAATAAGTGACAATTCTGTTAAACTAATTGTCAATATATATATTTTAGTTATTGATATTAAATATACATTAAAATTTTTGTGTAGACTCGATAAATAATAGCATTTTTGTTTTTATTGTGTCCACATTTAAAAAAAAATAAATTTTAATCAAACTACATGATACTAATTTAATTACGAGTATTAAAACTAAAGTCCTGAAAGTTTCGGTGAAGATGAGGACAGAGCATCTGCCTTCCACGCGAAAAGCCCGGGATCGAATCTAGGCCGAGGACTAATTAATTTTTCATGTTAATTTTATTTTATAAATTAGTCAACTTCGTAAATTATTTTAAAATTAGTTATTTTGTCTAAATAACCTAAAATAATTTTTTAAATTTGTAGATTTTCGTTAGTGGGTCGTAGAAAAAATATACTGACCATATCGAGTGGATTGTTCATATCACAATCAGACGATTGAGTACTCCGCATACGACGTCGTGCTCAAACTTCGTCTTTGTGTGATATTGCTATCATATCCACCCTTGTTGAACAAACTATAATTTATTTGTTTTCTTGGTTTAAACCAAAACTTAAGTTTTACATCAGAAATAGGAACTAAATTAATTTACTTTTCAAGTTTTCTTGTAAAAATCGATATTACTTTCTCCAAGTACAAATTTAGTACCTACCTAAAATAAGTACTAATTATGTAATATCGTGTAATATTGTAATTCAAATTTCACATTACTATAAATTTTCAAAATTTCCTACTTCGGTATGGTCAGATAAAAATTGAATATATTATATTAATAAAAACTGTCAAAGTATTACTTCTACAAATCTGTATTTCAATTAATAAGAATACATCTTAAATATAACTAATATTGTTAAAATAAAATCACAAATTCTTTATAATTCCAAAATACCATAGAGTTCCCAGACCTCAGTCGAAGCATTCGTTTATCTAGGTATAAACCCTTTGCGCGAAGAGTAACACTTGCCAGAGACACGGGGTACCACTTGATTTGCATCCACGAGCGTGACACAATTCTTTAACAATTGAAGCCCTTGGTGTAAAAAGGATCCAAGCCACAATTTGTCGTGAAGTGACTGTTTTAGCTCAAAACATTTGTTAACGAGGATTTTACTAGCCACATACAAATTATTTTACCTCTAATCCGAAAGATGTGCTATTTTTCGTAATATTTATATTTAAATAATGTTTCTAATTATATTTGACAGATTTAAAACAAATTAAAAATTTAATTTCCCAAAACTTACTTAATATGGCATGTAACCAACCTTATTACGCCAAGGTTTTCAATTTTTTCAATAATAAAAAAATTGTTTAATCCGGGCCCGACTTTTCCCTCGAATCTAACAGAGATAGCACCATTCCGTCTTGCTTGGTTCTCGACCGCCAGATCAAAGACGCCGACACGGAGTTGTGGAGCTGTATTGTAGGCGAGTTCGGTCAGTCAGGGGCTGGAGCGGGACAAATTTTAGGGCCCTATTCAGTAATTTATCGTTTATGGACGACATCGTTAAGCTAACGACAGTTCAACCAACGACTTTTATAACGATAATTTTTGAAACTCTATTCAATAACAAAGTCGTTACGTTGTTTCTAGTTACCAAATCTGAACGATGATTTCT